AATCATTGTTTTCGCCGTGAAGTGTAATGAGACAGACAACATACACTAGGGCGTGTGTGCGAATTATGATTCACATTGGCAAACTATAAAATGTCTAGATATTACAGTCCAGTTATAAATTCACTATAAGTATCAGCAGATCGTATGCTTTTTATTTAGTTTCAAAATGCATACAAGTATGATTTTAAACTAATTAGGATTAAAAGACCAAATATAAAGACGCATTATTGACTAGTATCTACATACTGGTGAGTGGACGCTAACCACGCGGAATGTAGCAAGAAATTTATCGCAGTATTGTCACTTCGACCCCACCTCGCCTCCGTGGAAGAAATTGTTATGTTATAAGTTGTGTCATGCAAAATCCTTTTGGTCATGATTCAAATACATATTTAACTACTTAAGTAGAAAGTAGTTTTGATTTTCTAATTTGATGAAAACAAACCATAATCTCATTAATTCTAACAGACTTTAGCCCGTCACTTTACGATTTTCATCCGCCAGTCTGAGGATAAATGCTATTTAGGTTTGTTTTCACCGAGTTACAAAATCAAAACTACTTTCTACTGGTATTAAAATATGTATTTGATTGATAGCCAATAGGATTTTGCATGACATAGCTTATAACATAACAATTTCTTTTGTGGAAGCGAGGTGGGTGTCAATATAATACAGTATTATTGTTACTTCGATCACAACCTCACTTCCGAGGAAGAAATCGTTATGTTACACGTTGTGTCATGGAAAATCTTTATGGTCACCAATCATATACATATGTTACTACAACTAGTAAGAAGTTTTGATTCTTTAACTTCCGCGGAAGCCGCATCTGAATACAAGTAAGATATCGCTTCAGGCTTCCACAACGCCGCGCCTTCGCACTCACAAACATAACCCATTTAGCACTTAACCGCGGGTCCTGTGGAAATCTGTGCATGGTGACACCATCGCCTCACCACTAGGAGCAATTGATCTACAACGCAACGATTCGGCATGTCTTCGCTGATGTCGAAATCATCAAATGACGAGCTAAGCTACACACTTTAATATACAACTAACTGAAAATCGCTCCTCATATGACGCCACTGCAGTGCTCTGGCGACAGAGTTACGTAACCTGTCTGTGGTTTCGTTGGCGGACGAGAGTGAAGCAGGTGACTTTTTGGCAACTTTTAATCGCTCGGTATTAATTAACCACAAGTTTTTTAAGAATGAATTTGGTGTTCCGCATAAGACTAACCACACATCTTTCATATGTAATAATTAAAAGAGTACAAAAAAACAAAGTTTATTTGTTCTTTAAGGATAATTCCCTGTCTCTTCCTTCTCATACATCCCGTTGATCAATTAGTTGACAACTTCTCAGACTTCTTTTCCCAGAAGATTTCCACAATCAGAGACTCACTATCACATGATGACCTTCCACACAGTGAGCCCCAACCAGCAGCTGCATTTCCATGCCTATCCCATTTCAGACCAGCAACAGAAGCAGAGATTGTGAAACTTGTTTCTAAGTCACCGACAAAGTCATGTATTCTTGGCCCTATTCCTACATGGCTTCTTAAGAACTCTCTGGATACCTTTGCCCCTATATTCACCTCTGTTGTCAATAAATCTTTTCAGGAAGGTATGATGCCGGAAACATTGAAAAATGAAGTTGTAACTCCACTCCTGAAGAAGAAAAATTTAGATCAAAAACTCTTAAAAAATATTGGCCAGTCACAAATTTACCATTCACCTCAAAATTGATTGAGCGTGTGGCCACATCAAGACTCAAGGAACACATGACCTTAAACGGGTGTTTCGAAGTCATGCAATCAGCATACCGGAATTTCCACTCCATGGAAACCGCACTAGTTAAAGTGCACAGTGACATCCTGAAAGCCGTAGACAAAGATGGTGCTGCAGTATTGGTTCTACTTGATTTGAGTAGTGCCTTCGATACTATCGACCATACTATTCTGATGCATACACTTGAGACCAGGATGGGTATTAGAGGAACTGCTCTTCAGTGGTTTGAGTCATACATAGCAGACAGACATCAATCGGTGATCAATGATGGTCACATCTCCAGTGCTAAGAATCTTGCTTATGGCGTGCGTCCCCAGGGATCGGTTCTTGACCTCTACTTTTCACTATTTATACTTCTCCTCTAGGTGATATCAAGCCAGATCCTTCAACCTTGGACTGCATTTATATGCTGATGACACTCAAATTTACATATCATTCAAACCCTTACTTTCCTCATCAGCTGTGTCTTCATTTCTCACCATTGAAGAGTGTGTCAGCTGCATCAAAATCTGGATGTCGTCACACTACCACAAACTGAATGATGATAAAACTGAACTCATAGTTTTCCACCCTAAGCGTCTCCAACCCAGTATCTCTCTTCCTAAATTCAGCATCGGTCAGTGTGAGATTCAGCCAAACCATGAGGTACGAAACTTGGGAGTTATTTTTAATTCCTCACTGTCCATGGAGCGACACATCAATAACATCTGTAGAAGGGCGTATTCCCAACATCTGTATGATTCGACGATACCTGGACGTCAAGACTACAGCATCTCTTATTCAGGCATATGTAACATCTCGTCTTGACTACTGTAATGCGCTTCTTGTGGGCCTCCCAAACAATCTTATACACAAGCTTAAGAAGGTGCAGAATACTGCAGCCAGAGTGGTCTCTCTGAGATCCGACCACATTACTCCCGTTCTTCACTCACTTCATTGGCTTCCCGTCCACTACCGCATAAAATATAAAACTCTACTCCTTGGTTTCAAAAGTATACATGGTCTAGCTCCTCAGTACCTCTGTGATCTGTTCCATCGTTATACTCCTGTACATTCACTCCGATCAAATGGCCAGTGTCTTTTGACAATTCCTGTGACTAGGACAAAAACATATGTTGACAAGTCACTTGAGACGACTGGCCCTCATCTCTGGAACAATCTTCCACCTCAGAACACAACCAGATTTAGCTGTTTTTAAATCAAATCTAAAGACTTGTCTCTTTGTTGAAGCATTTGAACTCTACCATCTTAGAGCCAAAGCACCTTTGAGCGGTTTACAGATATTGGCGCTATACAAGTATTTGCAGGTAGGTAGGTAGGTAGGTAGGTAGGTAAGTCTACAGGTGTATCTATACAAGCATAAGACTACAGGTGTATCTACACAGGTGTAAGACTACAGGTGTATCTACACAGGTGTAAGACTACAGGTGTATCTATACAGGTGTAAGACTACAGGTGTAAGTCTACAGGTGTATCTATACAGGTGTAAGTCTATAGGTGTATCTATACAAGTGTAAGACTACAGGTGTATCTATACAGGTGTATCTATACAGGTGTAAGTCTACAGGTGTATCTATACAGGTATAAGACTACAGGTGTATCTATACAGGTGTATCTATACAGGCATAAGACTACAGGTGTATCTATACAGGTGTATCTATACAGGTGTAAGTCTACAGGTGTATCTATACAGGTATAAGACTACAGGTGTATCTATACAGGTGTAAGACTACAGGTGTATCTATACAGGTGTAAGTCTTCAGGTGTATCTATACAAGCATGAGACTACAGGTGTATCTACACAGGCATAAGACTACAGGTGTATCTATACAGGCATAAGACTACAGGTGTATCTATACAGGTGTAAGACTACAGGTGTAAGTCTACAGGTGTATCTATACAGGTGTAAGTCTATAGGTGTATCTATACAAGTGTAAGACTACAGGTGTATCTATACAGGTGTAAGTCCACAGGTGTATCTATACAAGCATGAGACTACAGGTGTATCTATACAGATGTAAGTCTACAGGTATATCTATACAGGCATAAGACTACAGGTGTAAGTCTACAGGTGTATCTATACAGGTATAAGACTACAGGTGTATCTGTACAGGTATAAGACTACATATGTATCTATACAGGTGTATCTATACAGGTGTAAGACTACAGGTGTATCTATACAGGTGTAAGTCTTCAGGTGTATCTAAACAAGCACGAGACTACAGGTGTATCTATACAGGTGTAAGTCTACAGGTGTATCTATACAGGTATAAGACTACAGGTGTATCTATACAGGTGTAAGTTTACAGGTGTATCTATACAGGTATAAGACTACAGGTGTATCTATACAGGTGTAAGTCTACAGGTGTATCTATACAGGTGTAGACTACAGGTGTAAGTATACAGGCATAAGACTACAGGTGTAAGTATACAGGTGTATCTATACAAGTGTAAGTCAACAGGCATAAGACTACAGGTGTATCTGTACAGGCATAAGACTACAGGTGTAAGTCTACAGGTGTATCTATACAGGTGTAAGACTACAGGTGTATCTATACAGGTATAAGACTACAGGTGTATCTATACAGGTGTAAGTCTACAGGTGTATCTATACAGGCATAAGACTACAGGTGTATCTATACAGGTGTAAGTCTACAGGTGTATCTATACAGGCATAAGACTACAGGTGTATCTCTACAGGCATAAGACTACAGGTGTAAGTCTCCAGGTGTATCTATACAAGTGTAAGTCAACAGGTGTTTCTATACAGGCATAAGACTACAGGTGTAAGTCAACAGGTGTATCTATACAGGCATAAGACTACAGGTGTAAGTCTACAGGTGTATCTATACAGGTGTAAGTCTACAGGTGTATCTATACAGGCATAAGACTACAGGTGTATCTATACAGGTGTAAGTCTACAGGTGTAAGTCTACAGGTGTATCTATACAGGCATAAGACTACAGGTGTATCTCTACAGGCATAAGACTACAGGTGTAAGTCTCCAGGTGTATCTATACAAGTGTAAGTCAACAGGTGTTTCTATACAGGCATAAGACTACAGGTGTAAGTCAACAGGTGTATCTATACAGGCATAAGACTACAGGTGTAAGTCTCCAGGTGTATCTATACAAGTATAAGTCTACAGGTATATCTATACAGGTGTAAGTCTACAGGTGTATCTGCAAAAAATTTGAATTGTTTGTTTACCTTTGAGACCAAAATCATGGACATACTGATACTTGAGCCTCAGACTGTGGACGTTCTCATACCAGAACTGGTGACACTGGGAAAGGTTGGAAATCTGGAACAGAACCGCAGTAACAGACATGATATATCACTTCATACAAAACAACCAGTGAAGGTCCAGGTTAGAATATTGGCCTTCAGTAACCCATGCTTGTGGTAAGAGACGACTAAAGGGATCGGGTGGTCAGGCTCGCTGACTTGGTTGACACATGTCACAGGTTCCCAATTACGCAGATCAATGCTCATGTTGTTGATCACTGGATTATCTTGCCCTCACTCGATTATTTACAGACCGCCGCCATATAGCTGTAATATTACCGAATGTGGCGTAAAACTTAACTCACACACTTACTCATACAAAACACATTCTGGAAACATGATACATATCCTATCTAGGAACTTTCAACAAAAACACAAAACCCAGTCTAAAAACTATCAATACAACGATACAACACCATATAGCAAATATCAACACAACCATACAACCCCATCTAGCAACTATAGACACAACCATACAACCCCATCTAGCAAATATCAACACAACCATACAACCCCATATAGCAACTAGACACAACCATACAACCCCATCTAGCAAATATCAACACAACCATACAACCCCATCTAGCAAATATCAACACAACCATACAACCCCATCTAGCAACTATAGACACAATCTTACAACCCCATATAGCAAATATCAACACAACCATACAACCCCATCTAACAAATATCAACACAACCATACAACCCCATCTAGCAACTATAGACACAATCTTACAACCCCATCTAGCAAATATCAACACAACCATACAACCCCATCTAGCAACTATAGACACAATCTTACAACCCCATCTAGCAAATATCAACACAACCATACAACTCAATCTATCAACTATCAACACAACCATACAACCCCATCTAGCAACTATCAACATAACCATACAACCCCATCCAGCAACTATCAACACAACCATACAACCCCATATAGCAAATATCAACACAACCATACAACCCCACATAGCAAATATCAACACAACCATACAACCCCATCTAGCAATATGGAACAAGTTTTTATGGATAACAACTTCTTTATTTCGTGAGTGCGACGTTTCGATACAGATTCTTGTACCGTTGTCACACAAGAGTTATACATGAAGTGGAGGAGCTGCATATTTATACTGTGTATAACAATGAAACAACATACATTGTAATTGACAAAGGAAACAACATTATTGCCATAATTGGTTAAGCAGTTAGCTGATGAAGCCAGTGAGTACACAAAGGATAGTGAATGGAAGCCAGAGATGTATAAATACAGGAGTGGTACAATGAAGGAATGGTACAATGAAGGAGATGTTTATACGATAGGTGCGATGTTTATACAATAGATTGGGCTTGGTGGAGGAGTGGATCATAAGCTGATGGAATGAAGTATCCTTGGTCACGGTTGATGGTGGGCTTATGGCGTTTGATGTGAATGGCTTCGGTGACCTTGCGTTTAGTGAAGTCCGTTTGGTTGTTGGCGAGAATGGTGAAGTCGGACCACTCTATTTGGTGATTGGGGTTTGCTTTGATGTGGTCAGAGATAGCTGATTTGGTGTCGGAGTTAGCAACAGAGGTGCGATGTTCTTTGACTCGGGTGTTGATGGGTCGGGATGTTTCACCTATGTAGCTTTGTCCACAATCACAGTTTATTTTATAAATAACACATTTCGGGTTGTTGTTGTTGTTGTTGACAGTGGGTTGTTTTCTTCCGTTGGCATGGAGGAGGTTGTTGAGGCTGGAGGACGCTGAGAAGGTTGTGTCTATGCCTGCCTGTTGTTTCAGGAGTCGGCTGATTTGGTGTGATGGTTTACCAATGTAGGGAATGGATATCTTGATGGGGGCTGATTCTGGTTTCGATCTTTTGGCAGGAGGTGAAAGCGTTGCTTCAATGGTTCTGTTGACTATTTCAGGTGGGTAGTGGTTGCGTTCTACAAAGACTTTCCTTAGGTGTTCAATTTCTTCTCGTAGGTTTGTTGAGCAGATGTTTTTGGCTCTTCTGGTCAATGTAGAGATGACGCCGGTCTTGACTTTAGGGTTGGAGTTGTAGTGGATGTATTAATCCGTATGGGCAGTTTTCTATTACACGGAGATCTGGAGTTGGTTGCAGGAGGTGAGGGATACGAGGACATCAAGGAAAGGTAGTTGGTTGTTCTGCTCTGTTTCAATGGTGAATTGATGCGGGGATGTTGGCAATAATGTTGTTTCCTTTGTCAATTACAATGTATGTAGTTTCATTGTTATACACAGCATATATATGCAGCTCCTCCACTTCATGTATCACTCTTGCTTGACAACGGTACAAGAATCTGTATCGAAATGTCGCACTCACGAAAATGTAATTTTCTGAATAAAATTGATTTTTTATACTTATCCTGACTCATGCTCTTTTGCTTGTCTTCTTCTTTTTGCGAACATAGTGGAACACTTGTATCTCCCTATTGAAGCTCCCTTCAATTGAAACATACGTAAAATCACTTAATCACTACTCACCAAGAGTTGCCCCTCTTTGTTCCCCTGGCGGGAAAGACGGCACCACCGTATCCCACATGCTTCACTCTCTCCTTATAACGAGCCCGACACTTGAATTTGCAGGGAAATCCAAAGTGTCATGTGGGGAGGATGGGAGGGTTTACCTCATGAGTCAGGATAAGTATATAAATGTAATTTTTAGAGTAAAATTGATATTTTTTACTTATCCTGACTCATGCTTATTGCTTGTCTTCTTCTTCTTGCGAGCATAGTGGAACACGTGTATCTCCCAATTGAAGTTCCCTTCAATAAAGAAATCACTAATTAGTACTAACCACAAGTTGCCTCCCTTGCCTAAGCTCGGGAACGAGGGCGCCACCTCAACCCATGTGCCTCACTCTCTCCTCATATACTGAGCCCAACACTTGAATTTCAAGGGAAATCCAAAGTGTTATGTGGGGAGGATGGGAGGGCTTACCTCATGACTGACTGAGTTTAGTTTCACGTCGCTTTTAGCAATATTCAAGCAATATCACGGCAGGGGACACCAGAAATGGGCTTAACACATTGTGCCCATGTGGGGAATCGAACCCGGGTCTTCGGGGTGACGAGCCAACGCTTGAACCACTAGGCTACCCCACCGCCCCCTTACCTCATGAGTCAGGATAAGTATAAAATATCAATTTTACTCTAAAAATTACATATTTTTCCTTATCCTGACTCATGCTTATTGCTTGTAGAATCCGACGGAAAAGGAGGTGGGAATATATAATACTTTGGATTTTAATAATTAGTGATTTGAACTGTGAAGATTGTAATAACCCTATGGGAACTTCATAAAGGCACTGAACTGATGAATTCCTGCTGCTAACTTATCAGCTGCCATATAAAGGTTATTACAATTTACTTATTATGATAAAAGTATATATAACATTAATACAATGCTTAAGACTAATAGACTTAAGCTTGTTAATATGATAGCATAAACTCCTTAGAGTTTGTTAGCTAAAATACTTTTATGATATAAACATAGTACTGAGCTTAAGATATGATTAAACTTAAGCTAAATATATAATAGAAAAAACTCCTTAGAGTTTATTAGCTAATATACTTTTATGGAGTAAACATAGTACTAAGCTTAAAATATGAATAAAACTTAAGCTATATATATAATAGCAAAACTTCGTAGAGTTTGTTAGCTAATATATTTTATGATATGAGTATAGTACTGTGCTTAAGATAAAATTAACTTAAGCTACCTAAATAGCAAAAAAAACTCCGTAGAGTTTGTTAGCTAATACATTTTATAATGTAACCATAATGCTTAAGATATGATGAAACTTAAGCTAAATATATAATAGCAAAAAACTCTTCAGAGTTTGTTAGCTAATATACTTATATGATATAACACAGTACTGAGCTTAAGATATGAATAAACTTAAGCTACATATATAATAGCAAAAAACTCCGTAGAGTTTGTTAGCTAATATATTTTTATGCTATGAGTATAGTACTGTGCTTAAGATATAATTAACTTAAGCTACATATATAATAGCAAAACTCTGTAGAGTTTGTTAGCTAATACATTATAATGTCACCATAGAACTGAGCTTAAGATATGATTAACTTAAGCTAAATATATAATAACAAACTCCGTAGAGTTGTTAGCTTATATATAGTATGATATAAAAACCATAGTACTGAGCTTAAGATAATAAATTAAACTTAAGCAAAATATATAGATAGCATGTAGCTATTAGTACTGTTATCAGATAAGTATAGATTCTGTAAGATAGACTTATCTTCTCCGTGGAACTGTCAACTGTTGAGCGAGGACCATGGGACCGAAATGGTGGATACCTGAGACGTCCTTGGTGGTGATATCTCTCAGATAGTGGTTGGCAACCACCATATCGGATCTCCAGAAATATCCCTCCATTATGGTATTCAACGAGCAATTCCCATGTAGAGAGAGAGTTGAGGCTAGAGCTCCAATTTCGTGAGGATTAGAAGCTCTTGGAGGGTAAAGTCCTGCAGCCTTGTAGGCACGTAGTATGACAGTTTTGATCCAGATAGAGATAGTAGTACGTGAGACTTCCGTCTGCGTAGCTGTAGATATAGGGATAAATAATCTCTTGAATATCCCTCTGCTCTGTTTGGATCGTTGGAGATATATATTTTCAGTGCATGAACTGGGCATAGTGATAGATCCATCGTATCATGCGGTCCAAGTATGGATGAGAGAGCTGGGACGTGGAATAATCTGTCTGGTTGACCTGGCAGTTGGTTTTTCGCTATAAAATCCCAGCGAAGTCCCAGATGAGCTATGTTATGAATATCATCAAAGCGTGTTCTCTCGTAATCCAGTGCGTGAATTTCTGACATCCTGGCGGCCGTAGCTAGTGCTAACAGGAACAAGGTTTTGTGGGTCAGTGATTCAAACGATGTAGATAGCGATGGTTCATAAGCCTCACTAGTGAGGTGTTGGAGCACTATATTTAGATCCCAGGCTGGAGCGTGAACTTCCGTTTCTGATCCTCC